CAAAGCTGAAGCCCAAGGTCGAGGGGCTTTCACCCAGCCCCTAGCACCTGGCACTTTGAACTTGGACTTAAAGCCTCAAAACTGTGAGAGAATAAATTCCTGTTTGTTAAGGCCATCCTGTTTGTGGTATATTCTTGTCAGAGCAGCACTAGGTAACCAGAACAACCACTAAAGCCAAAGATGAGGAAATTTAAGATTTTTGTCAACATCTGCAGTCTGAAATTGACCAAACATGCAATCAAGATGTGTTAATTATCACTGGTAACTGAATCACCAGTAGTTGGAAAATTTGGCCTTGGTGACAGAAATAATGCTGGAGATTACATGACAGAATTTTGCAAGACCAGTGACTTATTCATTGCAAGTACCTTTTTTTCAACAGCACAAATGGTGGCTATACACATGAACTTCACCAGGTGGAGTACACAGGAATCAGATTGACTACATCTGTGGCAAGAGGTGATGGAAAAGCTCAATATCTTCAGCCAAAACAAGGCCAGGAGCTGATTGTGGAACAGACCATCAATTGCTCATATGAAAGTTCAACTTGAAATTGAAGACAAAACAAGTCCACGAGAGCCAAAATATGAACTGGAATATATTCCTCCTGAATTTACAGACCATCTAAAGAATAGATTTGATGCATTGAACGCCAATGACCGACAACCAGAAGAATTGTGAGATGACATCAATAACATCATCCATGAAGAAAGCAAAAGGTCATTAAAAACATGAGAAAGGAAGAAAAGACCAAAATAGATGACAAAAGAGACTCTGAGACTTGCTCTTGAGCAGACAGTAGCTAAAGCAAATGGAAGAAATGACAAGATAAAAGAGCAGCTCAAGCAGATAAAGCCAATTACTATAATGAAGTAATAGTGCAAAGACCTGGAGTTAGAAAAACAAAAAGAAAGAACACACTTGGCATTATTCATGCTGAAAGAACTAAGGAAAAAAAATTTAGCCTCGAGTTGCAATATTGAAAGATTCTATGGGTAAAATACTGAATGATGCAGGAAGCATCAAAAGAAGATGGAAGGAATATACAGAGTCACTGTACCAAAAAGAACTGGTCAATGTTCATCCATTTCAGGAGATGGCATATGATCAAGAATCAATGGTATTGAAGAAAGAAGTCAAAGCTGCTATGAAGGAATTGGTGAAGAACAAGGCTCCAGGATTGGATGAAATACCCATTGAGATGTTTCAACAAATGGATGGCCCACTGGAGGCACTCACTCGGTTATGCCAAGAGATTTGGAAGACAGCTACCTGGTCAACTGACTGGAAGAGATCCATATTTGTGCTCATTCCAAAGAGAGGTGATCCCACAGAATATGGAAATTATAGAACAATATCATTAATAACACAAGCAAGTAAATATCATTAATAACACAAGCAAGTAAAATCTTACTGAAGACAATTAAAAAATGGTTGCAGCAGTGTATTGACAGAGAACTTCCAGAGGTGCAAGCTGGATTCAGAAGAGGATGTGGAATAAGGGATATCATTGCTGATGTCAGATGGATCTTGGCTCAAAGCAAAGAATACCAGAAAGATGTTTACTTGTGTTTTATTGACTATGCAAAAGCATTTGATTGTGTGGATCATAACAAATTGTGGATAACATTGAGAAGAATGGGAATTCCAGAAAACTTAATTGTACTCATAAGGAAATCTGTACATAGACCATGAGGCTGTCATTTGAACAGAACAAGGGGACACTACATGGTTTAAAATCAGGAAGGGAGTATGTATCAGGAGTATGTATCAGGGTTGTATCATTTCACCATACTTATTCAATGTATATGGTGAGCAAATAATCTGAGAAGCTGGACTATATGAAGAAGAGCATGGCATCAGGATTGGAGGAAGAATCATTAACAACCTGCGATACGCTGACAACACAACTTTGCTTGCTGAAAGTGAGGATGACTTGAAGCACTTACTGATGAAGATTGAAGACTACAGTCTGCAGTATGGATTACATCTCAGTATAAAGAAAATAAAAATTCTAACAACTGGACCTATAAGCAGCATCACAATGAATGGAGAAAAGATTGAAGTTGTCCAAGACGTCACATTGCTTGGTTCTACAATCCACGCCAATGGAGGCAGCAGTCAGGACATCAGATGGCATATAACACTGGGCATATCCCTGGAGACTGATGTCATGCTTGGTAAGGTGGAGGGTCGATGAAGGAGGGGAAGGCCCTCAACAAGATGAATTGACACAGTGGCTGCTGCGATGGGCTCAAGTATAGGAGGTATTGAAGAGCTGGTGTGGGACTGGGCAGTGTTTCATTCTACTGTGTGAATGAGATACTGTGATGACTGGCTGTTAACACTCCCAGGCATAAGGTCTCTAAGAGTTGAAGATGACTTGACCTAACATCAACAACAGCATAGGTCCCAGAACTACTGATGGCTCAGGGATTAAAATTGTTGGCTGCTAACCAAAAGGTCATTGGTTCAAATCTACCAGCTTTGCAGGAGAAAGATAACAGTTGGCTTCCATAAAGATTTGGAAACTGGTCAACGTGGCTGGGCAGCTGGATGTATTTATTCCCTGTGATAAGACTGGTAATCATCTCCATGGTACAATCTACTGGTGCAGCTGAGTAGCTGCTTTAGGGATGTGGTCTGTTTCCAGTATATAAGAAATCAGCTTTGAGAAAGGTCTCTGAGCTTTTTGGCACACCTGGACCTTGTATGTACCTGAGTCTTCATCTCAATAGACAGCTGGTTGTCTGCTGATCTTGGGACTGTTAATGGTCTTGAATTAGTGGCCTGCTGTGTTGCCTGATAATTTTGGGACTGTGCCATTTTTCTTGTCAACCTTGAGTTTGTCAGCCTCAGCAGCCAGCAGCTGTCCTAGAGAAGTCTCCAGCTTTAGTGGTCTGGGAGCAAGAGGCAGAGCTGAAACCCAAGGTTGAGGGGCTTTCACCGAGCCCCTAGAGCTGGCACTTTGAACTAGGACTTCTAGTCTCCAAAACTGTAAGAGAATAGTCTCCTGTTTATTAAAGTAATTATTTGTGTTATTTCTGTTAGTGTGGCACTAGAGAACCAAAAAAGAAACCCTATGGGGCAGTTCTACTCTGTCCTATAAGATCGTTATGAGTCAGAATCAATTTGATGGCAATGCGTTATAGGTATCCTGGAATCTTCTTAGGACAGGGGCCTTTGTCCAGATCTTTGTATCTCCACAGGACTTTGAGTTTGGTGACTAATGGACTGATAGGCTTCTCATTGCTCCACCCTCCAGTGTTGGTGGGTCTGTGGTTTGGCTCACAGAAGGGCCACCAACATTTGAGTGTGGCCCCCTGACTGGTGACATGGGGACCCCTTGGAGCCTGGCCTAAAATATGGAGTTGGAGGTTTCCTTTTGTTACTGTCCCCAAGATCTTCTTTCTAATTTCAAAGGCTCCCTTCAGGTGGAAAGAGAAAATTTCAATTATCTTCTCCCATGTCTGGGGAAGTGGCAGCATAGGTCGCCTCTCACAAACAAAATTGATTTTTTTCTTAATGAAGCGGCTGTCAGTTGGCTGCTGAGCTTGTTTAATACTTGGGTATTTGGGGCTGTCTGGGAATGAGATACTGTGATGACTGGCTGTTAACACTCCCAGGCAAGCAGAGGCTGAGAGAAAGGCTTCAGAAGGGTGCAGGGTCCTTTGAGGTTCCTGGACGCTGAGGGAGGGGATGTGCTGAGTAGGTCTGAGGTTCTTGTGCTGCAGACCTCTGAGGTCCCTGGGGGAGATGAGGGTGTTTATTTGCTTTTCAGCTTTTGCAGATCTGCTTCTGGTTCTTTCTGTGGCTGTGCTTTGTTTTGATTTTTTACTTTTGTCTCTTTCTGGAGATTGCCTCCTCTCTCAAGCGTTTCTCTCTCCATTTCTTTCCCTTTCTCCCCATTGACTGTCCCCTCAGCTCTTGTTTTTCCTCTTTGCTCTTCACCATCCTCCTCCTCTCCTCCACCCTCTCTTATTACCCCCCCGTGCTTCACTCTTTTCTCTGTCACTATTTCTCCTTTCATCTCTCTTTTGTTTGTTCACTAAGTTCATCATCTCTGTCTCTGTTTAAGTATTTCTTTCTGTTGGTCTTTCTGGTTCTCTCTGCGATCTCTTTTTTATGTCCTTCTATTGTGTTCTTTTCTTATCTCATATTCTCTTTTGATGAGTCAGTTTTTCTTTTGTCTCTATTTCTGTGTCTCACTTTATCCTTCCTTCCTTCTTGCTTTATTTTTATTCCCGATGCTGCAAAATATATCTGCGACCTCATTGCTTCTTCTGTTGCATTATCCCTGTGATAACTCAGGGGCTATGGCATTATTCCTTCCAGTCAGTGGCAAAAAGAATCAGAAAGTGTTATGGGGCTCAGCCTCTCTCTCCTCCCTCCTTTCCATCTCATAATGCTTTGCTCAGGATCTTGTTGAATTAATGAATAAATGAATAGTCTTTGCTGTTCTGTGGTAACTCTATGACCCTGGAAAAAAAAAACATATAAGTTCACTGATGCTTCTGGAAGTTCCAGTCTCTGGGATGAACAAATCTTAAAGGTAAGTATGTCGTTAAGATGGATTAACCCTGTGACTACAACAATGGACTCAACATGGCAACAATTCTGAGGATGGCACAGGACTGGGCAACATTCATTTTGTTATACATAAGGTTTCTGTGAATCAGAACTGACTTGATGGCACTTAACAACAACAAGTTAATTTGATCCTTGACATGGCAGATCTTTAAAAAGACCAGGTCCCTAAGATGACTGAAAAACTAAGATGACAAGACCATTAGTAAGATCATTAAGAGCTTTTAGATAACATCTACCATGGTGATCAGCATGCATACATAACCAGGTGACCAAGTGGCCAAAATTACCAGATCAGATTGCTAATGTGCCAGGTGACTAAGATGATGATTAGCTCAATTTAGCTGCTAAATATACTTGCACCTGAGCAGAGCCCAGTTTGACCTGTGCCAACTCTTCTACTCTTTCCCTAGGCTGCTCTGCGCAGACTGGCCGGGGTCTGCCCCGAAGGCCTCCAGGACTCTGACTTCCAGCAGCTGGTACAGCCCCGGCTTGTGGACTCCTTCTTACTCTGCAGCAACATGGAGGAGAGTTTCGTGTAATGAGTGTGAGAGAGGAAAGGCATCCAACTCAGTTTTCATTTCTCCTCAGAGTATACACCTGTGAAACAGCCCTCACCTTTTTATTTATACTTAATTTATTTTTACATGGAATGGACAGAGGGCTCAATCTTATAGCATCATCATCAGACAGTCTGTGCTCTTTGGGAGTCTTATTTGTGTTTATTTTTTGACTTCTGTGGCTTTTCAGTTGCAGATGTTGAAAAGCATAATGGCTAATATGACAGATTGTCATGGGTGATTTCACTTCATCTGGCTTTCTCTACTCTCACCATATAATCTTGCCTTATTTTTGTACTTTGGAACCACAGTATTTTAACTGCCTAGCAGTTTTTTTTTTTTTTTTAATTTGGGTTTGCTCTTTCCAAAAGTCTTACGTTTAAAATGACTTTCATAGTTGGACTGAATATACTGCAGGGAAAGATTTTTCTTTCATAAATGGAATTATGCAAAATGTATCTTGCATTTTCTGATTAAAAAGTTTAAAACTCTTGCTTTCCAAGGTATCACCCCACAAAACCTCTCTACTAAAGTTAGAGCCTTGTCTTACTTTCATCGATGCATCAATCAGTCAAGTTCTGAATGATACAGTGAAAAATCATAATGAAACTTAGCTGCTTTTTGGCTTCCTTGCCATTCTGCAATGTCCTTTACCTCCAGGTGAAAAGAATTAGGTTTTAGTGACTGATACATCTTCAAAAGTATAATTGAAAATGTGCTAGTGCTGGCTCATACCTTTTGTGTTACTGATTCTCTAATAGCCCCTAATAGGAGCTCTGGTGGTGTAGTGCCTAAGGCATTTGTGTTAGACTGGGTTCTCTAGAGAAACAAAACCAGTAAAGCTTACATATATAGAGAAAGAGAAATTCATCTTAGGAAAATGGCTCACACACTTATAGAAGATGGCCAGTCCAAAGTTCTTGGATCAAACGTCAAGCTGGTGTCTTTACCTGACTCACGCAGCTGCAAGGGCTGAGGATCCCAAGGTTGGCAGGCAGTAAACTGGCTGTTGACTCCAACAAACGACGAATCCAAGATCTCCAGGCTGAATGGTGGATTGTTCGCTCACGGACAGTTGTAAGCAGAACAACAGAATCCCTATCCACAAAAGAGTGTCTCTTTTCCCAGGAGGCCCATAAATATACTGGAAACAGGGGACACCCCTAGGGAAACTCCCTTTCAATGGATTGGCTGCTCAAAATATATATATCTGATCTCATCATGAATAACCACATCACAACTGCTTAAACCACACAGAACTGTGGTCCAGCCAAGTTGACACACAGCTCCAACTATCACAGCATTTGACTGCTAACCAGAAGACTGGCAGTTCAAACCCACCAGTCACTCCTTGGGGGCAGAATGGTTTTGGAGCCCCGCCCCCAAAGCTCCCAATGAATATCCACATACAAAAGAATAAAATGGATCCCTACCTCACAACCCACACAAAAATTAACTGAAAGTGGATCATAGGTCTAAATATAATAGCTAAAAATATAAAATATTTTGAAGGAACATAGAGGTATATCTTCATGACCTTGGGTCTGGCAATTGTTCTTAGATACTGAAAACACAGTGAGAAAATACTAAAAAGATAAATTAGACTTCATCAAATTAAAAATGGACACCATCAATGGAGAAAAATATTTGCAAATCATGTATCTGATAAAGGACTAATCAGAATATATAAAGCACTCTTACAATTCAATATTAAAAAAAATTAAAAGGATTTCAATAGACATTTCTCCAGAGAAGACATACAAATAGCCAAAGAGCACATGGAAGAATGCTCAACATCATCAGTTGTCAGGAAAATGCAAATCAAAATCACAAGGAGATACCACTTCACACTGACACACCCATCTGTACCATTGAATTGATTCTGACTCATAATGATTCTATAGGACAGAGCAGAAATGCCCCATAGGATTTTCAAGGCTGTAAATCTTTATGGAAGCAGAGTGCCTCATCTTTCTCCCATGGAGCAGCTGGTAGGTTTGAACTGCCAACCTTTTGGTTAGCAGCCCAAGACTTTAACCACTGCCCCACTAGAGCTCATTTCACACTGACTAGGTCTGTTAAAATAAAAATGTTAGACAATAACAAGTATTGGTAAGGATGTGGAGAAACTGAAACCGTCATACATTGCTGGTGGGATTGTAAATTTGTACATTTTGTAAAACAGTTTGTCATTTCTTCAAAATGTTAAACAGAGTTGCCATGTTGTTGTTGTCAGGTGCCATGGAGTCGGCTCTGACTCACAGTGACCCTATGTACAACAGAGTGCAACACTGCTCAGTACTGCGCCAGCCTCACAATCCTTCCTATACTTGAGCCCATCAATGCAGCCACTGTATCCATTTCATTGAGGGCCTTCCCCTTTTTTTCTGACCAGTCACTTTATAAAGCATGATATCTTTCTCCAGGGAATGGTCCCTTCTGACAATATGAACAAAGTAGGTGAGATGAAGTCTGGCCATTCTCACATCCAAGAAGCATTCAGGCTGCACTTACTCCAGGATAGATTTGTTCATTCTTCTGGCAGTCCATGGTACTTTCAGTATTCTTCGCCAGTGCCACAACTCACAAGCAGCAACTCTTCTAGATCTTCCTTATTCATTGTTCACCTTTCACATGCTTATGAAGTGATTGAAAACACCAAGGCTTGAGTTAGGCACACCTTAGTCTACAAGGAGGCATCTTTGCTCTTCAGCACTTTAAAGAGGTCTTTTGCAGCAGATTTGCCTAGTGCAATACACCATCTGATGTCTTGACTGCTGCTTCCGTTGGTGTTGATTGTGGAAGCAAGTAATAGGAAATCTTTGACAACTTCAATCTTCTCTTCATTCCACTCAAGATAGATCCTCAAGAGAACTGAAAGCATATCTCCACACAAAAACTTGTACATGAATGTTCGCAACAGTATTATTCAAACTAGCCAAAGAGTAGAAACAACCCAAATGTCATCAAATGATGAGTGGATAAACAGTCTGATATAGCCCTACAATAGGGTATTATTTGGTAGTGAAAAAAATTAAATATTGATATATGCTACAATGTGAATGGACCTTAAAAACTTTATGCTAAGTAAATGCAGCCAGTCACAAAAGATTTGATATACATAGAAAATAGCCAACATAGCCTAAATAGTCAAATCCATACAGACAAAGTAGTCTAGTGGCTGTTAGAGGCTGGGTGGGTTTGGAGTGGGACATGATTGCTAGTGAGCACAGGCTTTCTTTTGGGGGAGATGAAAATTAGTGGTGATGGTTGCACAATCCTGCGAATGTACCAAAAACCACTGAATTGTACACTTTAAAAGTGTGGATTTCATGGTGATATAAAATAAAATGATGTCTGGGGGTACAGTCATGTAAAGACATGACTGGACTAAAGGACCTGCTTCTAAGGAGTCTCATTCACACGACTGACAAGTTGATACTGGTTGTTGGTGGGAGGCCTCTCCATAGACTGTTTGAGGGTCTTGATAGCATTTAGCTTCCCCCAGAGTGTGCCATCCATGAGAGACAGAACCAAACAGAATCCATCCTTTTCATGTCCTAGCCTCAGAAGTCACTGAGATTATTTCTGCCACATTTTATTAGTTAGAAGCAAGTCACTGAGTCTAGCCTACATTCAAGGGTAGGAAGATTAAGCTGTACCTTTGGGAGGAAAGAATATCTTAAAATTTGCAGGTGTATTTTAAAGGCATTATTTCCCCTGTTCATGTTTCCCAGGCTCTTCACAAACTACTCATTCAGTTTTGGAAAGTCCAATGTGTCAGTGTCCCTCAGCCTCCATCTCTCTCCCCATGTTCTACTCTCATCAAAATGAAGCATCTAGAACTGAAAACAAATCCCTCCTCTTTTCCTTCTGGTCCCCACCCTGACGTCTCCAACCTCCCCAAACCATTCCTGGTGTGGTAGATAGGGGCCATCAATGATTGAATTTGTTAAAGAATGGTGAATGAAGGGACGATTGTTACCAAACATTCTTTTGACTTCAAGGAACAGGAGTTCAAAGGAGTAAAGAAAATGCACCAGATGAAAGAAAATAAGTTTTCTTGTTAATGACAACATTCCATACCCCTTGAGTTTTTCTGCATGGGGTTAAGCAGGGCTAGGAGTAGTAGGTGTATAAGTCTAATTTTCTCATATAAAGGTTAAGTTGTGATAAAGAATAGGAAGAGAAGATCTAAGACCAAGGGAACTGACAGCCTATTCAAAGGAGATATAGCAAAAATGATACTATGTAAGCTTCCATTGCACGATTTTCTGTGAGAGGATCCTGTCTTCTGAGGACCTGCACCTTTGTCATGCCTTGTCTCTGGCTATATTTAACCTTAGAATAATTACTGTTCCTTTAATAATGTCTTTTTGTATTGCTCACAAATACATAGTACGGAGAGATGATGTCACACAGAAAGGAAACTATTAATAAGTTAAAGAAGACGAGAAAGAAGACGAGAATTGAACACAGAATAGAAAACTCTGCCCAATGACTTGAAAGATTTTTTTAAATTAATGTTCTCAGAAATGGAGCTTTTGAAACAGAAAGTTTGAAAGAGGAATGAAAGGATGACATCAAACCCTAGATGGAATTTATAGTTAAAACCCACGGAAGGGTGGGGAATGCCCAGTCCTTCTCCAGAATATAAATTGTGTGTCTGTGTGTGTGTGTGTGCAGGATGGCGTGACTCAGCCTCAGTTGGTGAGTCCCATCAATTCTAATGCAGCCTTGGAGTATAAACTGTGAGTTTAGTCATATCTGTGATCAGCTTCTGGGCTCTTCGAGGCAACTCCAGGCAGGAAGTCATAATATAGACCTTGGGGCAGAGAATCCCACTCTGACACTCAGTGCAAGGGCAAACTGAAGGAGACCTCCCAAGCTCAGAGGCATCTTTGAAGTTTGCTGTAGGAATAGAATTAATGCTAATCCTATACTGAGTGTCTCCTGAAAACATTTGGGAATTTGGTGCTATT